TACAGGTGTGAGCCACCACGCCTGGCTTCCATCATCTTTTTCTTTTCTCTTCCTCCTTTTCTGTTTCCCTCTCCCTCCCTCTCATTCCCCTTTGAACGTTTTCTTCCTATTTCACAATACCTATTACACAATTTTGTCCTTATTTACACTTTTAGTTTCTCATACCAGAGAAACAATGCAATATTTACATGTGTGTTCAACTTATTTCACTTAAAAGAATGGCTAAAAAGATTTGTGTATGTTAAACTATCCCTGCATCCCTAGCATGATTCCACTCGGTCATGGTACACAATCCATTTAGCTAGAAATGTCTCAAGCTTAACCTTCTTTATGTCTCAGTATTACTGCATTATATTAAAAAAAAAAAAAAGCACATCTTGGGGCTGGGGATTTAGCTCAGTGGCATAAATGCCTGCCTTGCAAGCAGGCAGTTATGAGTTCGGTCCCCGGTACTGATAAAAAGGAAAAAGACAAAAAAAAAAAAAAAAAAAAAAGCACATCTTTAATCATTCATCAGATGATGGGCACTTGAAGTGTTTCCAAGATGTAGCTATTACAAATAGTGCCACTGTAAGCATGGGTGCGCATATATCATTATGATATAATGCTTTTAATTCTTTGGGGAAGATACCAAGAAGAATAGCTGGGTAAAATAGAACCTTTAGTCCTAGTTTTTTGAGGAATCTCCACTGATTTCCACAGTGGTTGCACCAGTCTGCATTCCCACCAACAATGAAGAAGGGTTCCTTTATCCCCAGAGCCCGTCCAGCATTTATTATTGGTTAGATTATTGATAAAAGACCATTCTTTAGGGGGTGAGATAGAATCTCAGCATTGTTTTAATTTGTATTTCTTGAATGCAGAATGATGTTGAACATTTTTCATATATTTATTTGCTGTTTGTACTTCTTCTGAGAAGTGTCTATTTCAGATGCTCATTTTTGGATTGGGTCTTTAAATTTTGGGAATCTGATTTTTTTTGAGTTTTTATATAGTCTAGATGGTTGTCTGAGGAACAACTGGCAACATTTTTTCCCACAATATGGGTTGTCTCTTCATTCAGTTGATGGTTTCTTTTTCTGTACAAAAGCTTTTTAATGATAAGATTCCAATTGTTGATTTTTTTGTGATAGTTCTGTGTGATTGGGGTTTTGTTCACAAAGTCTTTGCCTACATCAATGTCTTCAAGAGTTCTACCGTTTCTATCTTAAAGCAGATTCAGTGCTTCTGCTTTAACATTTAGATCTTTGATCTATTTTGACACTAATTTGAAAAATATGGATCTAGTTTTAAACTTTGGTATGTGGAAAGCCAGTTTTTCCAGCACCATTTATTAAAAAGTCTCTCTCTCTTACAGCAAAAGTATTAGGTATCTGTTATGGTTGATACCTAATGGTATGATTAGGTCAACTTGAGAAATTTAGATGTTTAACTAAACCATTCAGCAGGGAGTGAAGGTCCTTACTTTGCAAACATCTGCAGCCTGTGTAAAAGGTGTACATGGAGCTTTTGTGATTGCTACACCTGCCCTGCTGTGGTGGTGGCCTGCTTACAATATAAGTGAGAAGCAGCTTGTTCTCTCCCTACTTTTTGCTCTTGTTGACTTTTCTGTCTTCTGTCATTTTGAAGTGTTGCCTCTGTGCCAAGTCACCCTTCCTTGAAGCTAACTGATTTTGGACTGAAACCTCCACAAACTGTGAGCTAAATAAAACTTTCCTTCCTTGATTTGGGGCATTGGATATTTTGTCTCAGCAACGAAAGAAAAGTAACTAAGACAGTACTTTTACCAAAAATAAGTTGGCTAAATATTTCTGGGGTTGTTTCTGCATCTTCTAAATTATTACATTAATCCTCCAGTCTGTTTTTTCTTTTTTGCCAGTGCTATGCTGTTTTTATCACAGTAGCTTTGTACTATAATTTCAAGTTGGTGACTGTGATGCCCCCTACCTTGCCTTTGTTGCTCAGCATTGCTTTTGCTATTCTAGCTCCCAAATGAATGTTACGATTGTTTTCTCTAAATCTGTAAGACTTGCTGTTGGAATTTTGATCAGGATTACATTCAATTTGAATAACAATTTTTAAAGTATGGTTATTTTCACTATATTAATTCTTCCTACCCAAGAGCATGCAGTATCTTTCCATTTTCTTGTATCTTTTCAATCTCCTTTTTCATGTAGACATCTTTTACCTCCTTCATTAGATTGCTTCCTAGGTATTTCTTTCTTTCTTTTTTATTATTTTGGATGCTATTGTAAAAGATGTTGTTTCCCTAATTTCTCCCTCAGTGAATTTGTTATTCATGTACAGGAAGGCTATTGATTTTTGAATGTTGACTTTGTATCCAGCTATGCTACTGAAACTGGTTACTAAACCTAGGAATCTTTTGGTGAAGTTTTCTGGGTCTTTTATGTACCATATCATGTTATCCACAAATAATAATAGTTTAATTTCTTCCTTTCCTGACTTTATTCCTTTTATTTCTTTCTCTAGTCTAATTGCTCTGGCTAATGTTTCCAGAAGTATATTGAATAAGAGTAGTGATGGTAGGCATCCTGGTCTTGTTCTTGATTTTAGAGCAAAAGCCTTCCATTTTTATCTACCTAGTGTGTTGGCTGTTGGTTTGTCATAGATGGCTTTTATCAGATTGAAATAAAAACCATCTATTCCAGTTTTCAGTAGGATTTTTATCATAAGTTGATGTTAGAGTCTGTCAAATGCTTTTTCTGTATCTATTGAGATGATAGTATGGTTTTTATCTTTGGTTCTGTTAATATGGTGTATTACATTATTGATTTGTGTATGTTAAACTATCCCTACATCTCTAGCATGATCGTCATGGTATATAATCTTCTTGATGATTTGCTGCATTCTACTTATCAGCATCTTTCTTTGCCAGTATCTTATTGAAGATTTTTGCATCTATGTTCATTAGGGAGATTGATCTATAATTCTCTTTCTTGTTTGGGTCCTTCTATGGTTTTGATGTCAGAGTAATGCTTACTTCCAGGAATGAATTTGGGCTTCCCTTTCAATTTAAAGAGTTCAAGAAGTAGCAGTGTTGGTTCTTCTCTAAATTTCTTATAGAATTCAGCAGTGAAATTTTGTTGATAGGTTTTTAACTATATCTTCAATTTTTTTACTGATATTTAGAATTTTTGTATTTTGATTCAGATTTGCTATTTCATACTTATCTAGGAATCTATCCATTTCTTCTGCATTTTTCATGTTATTATAATACAAGTTCTTGAGTTAGGTATAGATGATCTTCTGAATTTCTGCAGAACCTGTTGCAGTGTCACCCTTTTCATTTCTAGTTGCATGGATTTGAATCTTGTCTTCCTTTTTAAAATAAGGTTGGCTAAGGGATTGTTCATTTGATTTAATCTTTCGAAGAACCAACTTGGCTGGGCATATAGCTCAGCAGCATAAGCACCTGCCTGGCAAGTGTCAGTCTTGAGTTCAGTCCCTGGGACAAGACAAAGCAAAACAAACACTAACTCTTCAATTCATTGATTCTTTATATTGTTTTCTGAGTCTCCATCATGTTAATTTTTGCTCTGATCTTTATAATTTTCTCTCTTATATGACCTTTGGACTTGACTTGCTCTTCTTTTCTAGAAGCTTGAGGTACAACATCTTGTTTATTTGAGCTTGCTCTCTTCCTGATATGAGTGTTCACCCTTACAAATTTCCCATAAGGGGCTGGAGATTTAGCTCAGTGGCATAAGAGCCTGCCTTGCAAATATGTGGTCATAAGTTCAATCCCCGGGACTGATAAAAAAGAAAAATACACACAAAAAAATGGGTAAAAACAAATTTCCCATAAAACTGCTTTCATTGTGCCCCATAAGCTCTGGTGTATTGTAATAGTGTTATTGTTTAATTGTAGAAGCTGTCTAATTTCTTCTTTAATTTCACTTGTGATCTATTGGTTGTTTTATAGGGTGTTATTTAATTTTCATGCATTTACTAAGATCTTGTGGTTTCTTTTGCCATTGATTTCCAATTTCATTGCATTATGCTCTGACAATGTGCATAGGACAATTTCAATTCTGTTGCATTTACTTAAGCATGTTCTGTGAGTGTGTGGTTTATTTTGCAGAATGTCCCATGTGTAGCTGAGAAGAATATGTATTGTAATGTGGGGTGGAATACTTTCCAGACATCAACTAAGTCCATTTTTTTCAAAAGTTTGGTTCAGTTTTAATATTTCATTGTTGATTTGTTATCTGATTGATCTTCCATTTGTGACAGTGGGTATTGAGACTTTCAATACAATTGTATTAGTGCCTATTTGATTTTTCATGTTCATTAATATTTGTTTTATATAGTTGACTACACTGATATTTGGTGCATATATGTTCATGAGTATTATTTCTTTCTCTTGGTTTGTTCTCTTTTCAAGGATGTAAGGACCTTCTTTGCCTCTCTTAAAATCAGTCTTGGTTTAAAATCCACTTTGTCAGCAAGCAGAGTACCTACCTCTGCCTTTTCTGGGTTCTTGTCACATGAAGTATTGTTATCCATAACTTGACTTTCAGTCTATGATTTTTTTTATGAATTAAATGTGTTTCTTGAATGCAGCATATTGTTGGAGCTTGTATCTTGATCCATTCTGCCAGTCTTTTTCTTTTGATTGGAAAATTGAGACCATTAACATGGATGGGATATAACTGATATGTATTGACTTCTTTTTGTCATGTTATTTTACTATTGTTGGCTCCCCCTTTTTCCCCTTCTTCTTAAGTGTTCACTTTGCCTGGTGAATTCATTCTGTTAGGGTTTATGGAGTTTTAATCCTTATTATTTTTTTATAGAACATCCTTCAAAAAACTTTGGAGTGCTGGTTTGGTGGTAACAAATTTCTTCAATTGCTTTTTTGTCATGAGAGTATCTTATTTCACCATCAATTTTGAAAGATAGCTTTGTGGGGTACATAAATCTGGGTCATAGATTATTTTCTTTTAGGACTTGAACTTGTAGAGTTCGTTTAGGACTCTGCACTCGCTTTGGCAGCACATATACTAAAGTTGGAGTGACACGGAGAAGATCAGCATGGCATCTGCACAAGGATGACACACAAATTCATGAAGTGTTTCATATTTTAGAAAAAGAAATAAAGTACTAGGGATATAGCTCAGTGGCATAAGTGCCTGCATGGCAAGTGCAAGACTGTGAGTTTGATCCCTTGTACAAAAAAAAAAAAAGAGAGAGAGAGAATGACTTCACTCCAAGCTCTCCTTGACTTGAAGATTTACATTGAGAAATCTACCATGATTTTGATGGACTTTCCTTTATAAGTGATTTGTTTCTTTTCTTCAACAGGTTTTAATATTCTATTCTTGATTATTATGCCTTTCTGTACATTTTTGTGTGTGTTGGCTAATTGAAGCCTTATATGCCTTGCTTATCTGTATGTGAAACTCATTTTTCCTGTCAGAGTTTTCTGCCATGAGGTCTGAAAAATATGTAATTTGCATTATCTCTTGCTTTTTCCTTGACCCTGATCAATTTGATGTTACTCTTCTTTGCCCCATCTAGCAGATACTGGAACGATCTCTTGTGGGCCCTTACTATTTTTAAGAAATCTTTCTTTTCACAGTCACTAACTGCAATCCTGTCTTCTGTATCTGAGCATCTGTCTTATATTGGCTCATTCTGCTGCATATACTTTCAATAGAATTTTCAATTGCTTGCATATCTGTTTGAATCTGTTTTGTGGACTTCATTTCTTTCCTATGTTGAGCATTTATGATTTGCATAGTTTTCCTAGGCTCTATTTTTTTAATCTGTATCTGCTCCAGAGTCATGAAACATGTCTTTCATTATGGTCACCATCTCTGTAGTTATCTGAGAAATTATTTCTGATATGACTTTTTCTAATGCCTCATTTGGTTTGTCAATTCATTTGGTTTGTCATTCATTTGGTTTGTCATTACCACCTCAGAGAGTCCAGGTGGGTGGCTTTTGGATTATTCCATCTCATCACTCCCTGAGTTTTCCTTTGGTGCCTGGACATCTAGGGTTACATTTGTTTAAGTGTCTTCTTATTTTGAGTGTGTGTTTTTAGTTTAATTCCTGGATTGATGCTTGTAAATAGCCTATGATGAGCAGCTTCTTTGATAGTATTTAGAACCTTTAGAAAATGACTACTTTTTAGAGATGTCTTCTAGGTATAGCTGGCTTTTGAGTTTTGAGTCTGTTGCAAGATCCTACCTCTTCAATTTGTTGAGGATGGGACATTGTTGCCTACTTGGCCCAGTCCCTGGCTCTTTGGCACTGTCCTACAGTATTTTTTATGATCCGTAGGCAATATCAGTCTTGGTTTACCAGGAAGAAAAACTGATTAGAACAATTATGTTGCTTTGACTGAAGTGGTACAATCAGCAATAATAATAGCATCAAACACAGCCTGAAATGACAAACTGAGGTAACTATTAATTTGCCACCTTTAACCATATGAGCTAAACCTGTGATTATATAACAAAATCTAAAATGAACCAGAAAATTGTACGCATTCTAGATACCTTTCCAGAAGAATTTAAAACATTGTACTTATAGCAATATATGTGTGCCCATGTTTATAGGTGAACAATTTGTAATAGAAAGATCTTGGAAACAACCCAAATGCCCATCAATCAAGAAATGGATAAAAATTATGTGACCTTTTTATACAATAGAGTACTACTCAGCCATAAAGAAGGATAAACTGGAGACTTTTATAGGTAAATGGATGCAACTAGAGACCATACTCAGAAATGAAATAAACCAGACACACATGTGTAAACATCATAGTGTCTCTCTAGTGTGAGAAACCAAAAGAGTAAATAAAATCCAAAATGTACAATAGATATTATAAAATAGGAAGAAGTTTCAAAAGGAAAAAGAAACTGGGATGGGGGAATGGAGAAAAGGAAGGGAAAAGCAATATATAAAATTGTTAAGATAGTTATATTACTAATTTCTCTTAGTTAATTGAAAAGAAAGGTTTGTGCTAACATTGGACAATTAAATTCCAATATCTTGTATACTGAGTAACTAATTTAAAAATAACAACACACAATCATTGTGACTCTCTTATTGTCTTATTTTGAATTTTTTCTCTTTAAAACAAAAGCAAATAAAATATACTAAAAAGAAAATTGTGTGCTGTAAATAAGCCCTCAATATGGCAATTTTATCCCGGGGGAGAAAATTTAAAAGGAATTAGAGGGGAAAATAGAGAAATAGAAGTAAAGGAGGATATTAAAAGCAAGACTGGAGGACAAATGTGAACCCAACTTCGGGAAACTTGTGCAGAAGACAAGAGACTAGAAATCATGTTCACATTCATATAAAAGAACAACAATGTCCCAACAATGAAGAAAAAAGCTAAAACAAAACAAAAAAACCCCACAAGAAATAAAAGAGAAAATAAAGAAGAAAAACAATATTCACTTCAAGCTGTGTCTCTGCTGCTATTGGTAGACAATGTGAGCAGATAGAGTCCAGATCCACATCAACGAGTTCCGGCAAGCCAGCAGCAGCTCCACGGCAGGCTAGTAGGTGATCTCAGTGAGCCTGCACTTCTGTGTCCATGAAGTTCAGAGTGTACTCCAGCCGTGAGGCTGGAACCAGACCCACCAGCTTGCTGCAGTCCCCATGCCCACTATAAGCTTGAACTTGGCTGGGAGCCACTTGGTGGACCAGTAGTCCCTCCAAGTGCTGAGCTCAGCTGGCCTCTCTGCAAAAAGGCTCCTGGCCAATTGCCCTCTAGTGGAAGTTCCAACAGTAGCATCTCACCAGCTGCTGCAGTCTGCTGCAGTTCACCGGTGTTCTCCATGGAGACCTCTGAGGTCGCTGGCAGTCATCACGCATCTGCAGTTCAAGTGGACTCATCCACCTAGTGAGTTCAGGTGACCTCTTGGACACCTGGATGAGTGTCCTCTTCTTCTTTCTTCATTGAAGTTTCCCTCTGTGTTGTCTCTATGGGCGTCACTTCTTACTTCAGATCCCTCTGGGGTCCTGGGGACCCAAGTTACTCCTTCTTCTCTTCCTCATGTTGCTATACTCTAATGTCTGAACAGCAAATCTCATGTAGGTTCTTTCTCTGTTGCTCACAATTCCACTACCTCCCCAGAAGCTGGGGCTGACATTTTTTGATCTCTGGTTTTCAAGGCGGATTATTTTCTATCTAGGGCTTATTTTTAGGGAAAGAGGATACTACACAAAATTAGGTTAAGAGACTATGAACCATTTGTTGACATGAACCCATATTCATGCAGAATGTTTAGTATTTTCTTTTAAATGCAGCTTTCTTATTGTTGGCAGTCTTAGTCTAATTTTGAGTCTTTCTCTTGTCAAAGATGCTTTCCAGTGATGGTTCCTTTTTACTCTTTTTGGCTGAGGCTAGCTTGTGGGCTTTACTAAAACTCTGACCGCGACAAGTGCTCAGTGTTGGGCAGAGGAATGGATGGAAGTGGGAAATAAAGCAATTGACATGACAGGTCACTCATGGACTAAAGCACTGAATTCTGGCTTAAAGTCAGTCACCATATGCATCTTGTCACTTGCCTCTCACTGATAGTGTTTCAATATGAGTCTATAAGCAACTGATTTATGCTGGTCTCCCTGCTAGAGTCTGCCTGTATGTGTGGCCTTTCTAAGCACTAGCATCACTGCCTCAGCTCCACCTCATGGCATCAGATGTTCACCTCTCATAAGGAAAGAAGCTCAGATCCCTCCCATTGGCAGTTTGCAGTGGGATTCATGCTTCTATAGGAATTTAATGTTGATCTGATAGGAGATGGAGCTCCTTTATAAAGTTTTGTAAGTGTGGACCCTGAGCATTAGGGAGGTTAACTGTACTACACAAGATCACACCCATTTGTGAAATACAGGAAATGGGTTGGTGTCTGAGCCTCCTGATTTCTCCTCTTTCAGTGAGGCACAGGATGGTTGTGGTTCTCCAAAAAGATTGGAATGGGCCATGAGATGAAAGAGTGTGGAACCATAAAACCAAGTTTTTAAAAAAAGCTATCATAGAAGTTTAATAATAAAAGGCATCTTTTTAAGCAATGAAAGAAAATTACCTTAACACATTCAAGCACTGGGAAACTAATATACTTTTCTCACTTCAGTGAGACATGATTATTACAACAGCACTGTATGTTACCAGTGCCAATAGCACCCCCATTGCAGGACAGCATAGAGAAGCAAGTAAGAACTCAGAGTCAGACTGTTCAAGGGTAACCCTACCATAGCCACTTCAGGCATGTTATGAAACACCTCCATGTCTAGCCAGAGTCACAAGCGCATCTGTAGAAAAGCGGGTCTGGACCTTAAATCTTTACATCTCATGCTCAGTTCTCATCCCACAATGTCACGGTGACAGAAAGGAACACAAAGCTGACAATGAGTCAGGCAGCTCAGCACAGTTACACACCACACTGGGATGTTGCCAGGGACACACTGCACACACGATGGTGGTCCCATGAGAATAATGGACCCAAAAAGCCAACAGGACAAGCTTCTCCAGGAGAACCAACAGCACCACCTATCACCTAGTGACACTGAAGTCATTGTGACATGGTAGTGCAGTGCCTTACTTGTGTGTTAGTAAAGGTTCTGGTGATAACTAACTACTGAGCTGCCAGACATGTAGAAGAACAGCACATGAGTTATGTACAGTGGTGCCTTGGTTCACAAACTTAATTCTTTCCATGATTCTGGGCACAAACCAAATTCAATGATTAGGTTCAATGTTCTTCCTGTGGGGAAATTTGATTTGATAGTAATAATAAATGACTAGATTACTGGTTTATGTATCTACTAAACTATATTAGAGTATTCTTCTACTGTAGTTATTAAAAATCAGTTTACTATAAAAATATGCAATTTACATTCACTGCCAGCAGTTTCACATGTCTTATGTTACAGGGTTTCTTGAAACCTTCAGAGCTAGGCATGCTGGTACATTTCTGGAATCCCAATTACTTAGGATACTGAGACAGGAGGATCACAAGTTCAAAGCTAGCCTGGGAAACTCAAGACGCTGGAGTAAGATAAAAATAAAGGAGAGCTGGGGATGTGAAATGGGTTGACAACTGGTGGTCAGCTTATACTATC